TCGTCATAATTATTAGAGAAGCTAGTCCCCTCACCTATAATCGATGGTCCGCCAGAAATCGTGGTTTAGCGTGAAAGATTTTATGGGACCACTGCTAATTGTTCTAAAAGCTTAAGCTATTAGATGAAAGCATGATTTAATATTTAATTATTCTAACACTTCCCTTCGCGTTTAGTCTGGTCTTTTTGCCATTACTAAGTATGGAAATATTTAATTGGGGAGGTAAATAGGGGCCCGAAAGATTCGAACTCAGGACCTCCTGCTCTGATACCATGAAGGATTTTATGGGATCACTTCTAACTATTCTAAAAACTTAAGCGATTAGATAAATGTGTGATTTAATATTTAATTACTCTAATAGAGCGAAGGCAGCGACAGATGATTAAAAACCGCGAATCGGCCGCTAAGATCTCGAGCCAGGAAACAGGTGACCTTTTTCTTTTTTTGCAAAATCCCCCACATCAAAACTATATAGGGCGAAATTGAGAAGCATGTGTCTTTGATAAATCAATGCATTTCGTGCAGGCATACCCGGTTTAGTTAGAAGTAGAGCTCATTCAGCTTAAAGAAAGAGAACAAGAAGCTCAACTCGATCTTTTGCCTCATTCTATCTCAACTGCCATTGCATTCATTTACTTCACTAGATGAGAGCGAGCGTTTCAGACACAACCACAGCAAGTTTTATGTGAACTTTTTGAGAGAGCTAATGTTGTATCGGTGACAGATGATGATGAAATGGTACGTAATTGCCAACAAGGGCAGAGAAGGCAGCTGAGAAGTTCAAGTCAATGAGGAGGGCAGCGAGCACTGCTTGGTGAAGGAAACACCAAGTTCAAAGTAGACGAGTTCAAAGTTGTAGTGGCATGGACAGGTGAGGTGGCTAGCAAGGATCACCTAAAGGGGGGGTGAATAGGTGATTTAAAATAATTCTTGACCAATTTAAAGTGAAAGTAAAAGATCAAGAACAAAGTCTCAACAACGTTCATATTTTAAACATTCTTTGATAGCAATTGTGTAAGTGTGCAATGTAATAAAAAAAATGAGTTTTCAAGGGACGAGAAGATCTGCACACAAGACATATAGTGGTTCGGCTTAAATCAAGCCTACATTCACTCTCCCACGCTGACAGCCTACTGGCTAAATTCCACTAGATGATCAATCAAGATATTACAAATTCTGAGTGATAATTTTTCTTTGAAAGATAGGTCACTCTATCTCACTCAATCACTCTTACAACAGATCTCTCAATATCACAGATTTTATCTCAAGAAGGACAAGTCACACTGGTCGAAGTATGCTCAGACTTTGTAATAGATGATTCTGGATATTATCTCTCTACTTCTACTCCGCGACAATTTGTCTCCTTTTATACTCCTCCACTTCCAAACTAGTCGTTGGACAGTTTAGAGGATCATCTTCCAATCTTCACTTTGGACAGATTTGTATAAAAAAGGATTGAGTAGCCGTTGAGTGATAAAGTCTGAATCCCACTGAATCTGGTCGCACATGCAACCAGAAATTTGGTTTCCATAAGCAGAGCTTCTCCAATTAGAAATAAACTTGTTGTGGGGTTGATTGTCAATCAATTAAAGATATTTAGCGATGTAATTATTCCTTACAAACTAACCTTTTAAGATCGAATCAATCAATACTTTCCATCGGTAAAATCCAAGCCAAATTACTAGCCGTTGTTCTGAGTTTGAGATAACGTCTGAATAAAGTTTGATTCGTATCTCGCATTTCAGAACTTGAGTCAGAATGGTTTGTTCCTGAAACTCTGAATCTTTTTTTTTTTTTGGTAACCCAGGGAACCCCTGCACGGCCGACAACCGGGGAGTAAACCTTGGGGACGACACGTGCTAGCCACCACACACGTGCCACCGGTTAAGTCACCCTGCGGCGCTCGGAATTCGAACACTCAATCTTTTGCGAGAGGAAGAGTGCGCGCTCCAGCAGCGTCACCCAGGCGGGTGGTTAAACTCTGAATCTTTTGATTCAATATAAATTGAAGTTCTTCAACTGCCATGTACAAAGTCTGAACTTTGTCTTTTGCTGTGCAGAACGTGAGCTTCTCCTTCTGATTCTTGTAAAGTCTGGACTTCCAGAATACTACTTCCTGGACTTAGAATACTTCAAAAGTATTTGTCAAACTTATAAAATCTCTTGGATAGTTTTGTCAACTTCAAAATATATTAGGATGTTTTCCCAACAACGGGAACATGTTATTGTGAAGATATATATGCACAGTACATATCATCTGATAGTGAGTTTTGTATGATGTTGTTGCGATTTGCATGCATGCATACAGCAAGATCCATGATCAAGTAATAAGAATATGAATGTTAATTAAGGTGAGCTTTCATGTGGGGATTGAAGGGTATGCATGTAATGTCAGGCATTGACTTGTATATGTATATGTCTGTGTAATATATAGCAGACAGATAACTTGCATTTCTTTTTTCTGGGTCCTGATTTGTCTCATTATACTTGAAGATGGAACTATATGATATAATCTTGCCAAATTTTGAGACCATTTCAATGAGAAAATGAGACAATTGCAATAAGGAACTGGCAAATGCAATTTCAATGCAATAGCTACTATTAATTGTGGTATTCTTTTGAGTTTTGAGTATTTATTTGGAATCACTAATAAGTTGAAGTAAGAAGATGTAATTTGATTTATTTCCTTTTTGTATGTACATTATGTTGGGAGAAGATGGTGAGCTTGCTACTATTATTTGGTTGATACTGAATTACTTTGTTTCGTGGCGGTAGACACGAGTTTTTTTTTCCGTACCAGTAAATTTTAGAAAGTACTGAGAAGTGTAAAAAGCCTATCGATGAACTATCAATATATATTTATGAAATTATCAATTTTTTGTTAACTCTTTGAATTTACTAAATCTTATATAAAATTATCAACCAACCTAAATCAATGCCACTCACCATTTTTTTCTGATTAAGTTATCTCTAAATGTTTTGCTGGTAACTCTCAATCGAGCTTCTTATTGACATTTATTTGGTTTTCTCTTTTAACTTTTCTTATCGTTTACAAATTTTTATTTGTATTCCTAGCAATGCTTTAAGTTAATTGACCGTCTTTAGAAATTATCAACCTCAATTAGAATAACTTATCAATTTTGGTCCGATTAAGTTACCTTTTGATTTGAACTATCGACTTTATAAATTTGCCAATTCCGACGACGTGGGCAACTACGGTAGGGGTGGCCTTTGCGAGGTCTCCTTCCCCTAAATTATTATTTTAAAAAGTATTGATAAGTATAAAAAGACTAAATTATGGACTTCAGCAATTATCTGCTGGGGATGACGTCAGCAATGACGTTCTTGTCGAAGGCGAATGAAGTTTTGCATGGCTGGACCAAGCAAGGTGTGGTCCTCGTTCTTGGAACGCGGCCAGTACGAACAAGTTAATAATGTCGAACATACTAAGGTTTGCTAAATGCGCCAAACTACAAGCGGCTTTTTCTTAAATATGTGAATCTCGCTCGATTAGTTCTCGAAATCACCGAATCAAAGGGAGTTGGAAGCATTGCTGCTACCTCACCCCGGCGATATAAATAATATGAATTGTTAAAATTAGGGCTAAGCGATCGGTCCGGATTTACTTTGGAACCGGATCGACCACCCATGGAAACATATCTGGCTCCCGATTCCAGTAAAAACAGGCTCGCTTATTGATTTCAAATTGTGCGGGGTAGGTTCCAGGTTCCGGGTGCAGAACTCACCCACCCATCCGGGAACTGGTTAGAACCTTGTTTTATGAAATTGGAAGAAGATGATTTAGTTTTCTTAAATGAGCTCAATTTCCTTATTGCTTTATATTTCTGTTTGTTCTGCATCGATTTTTTGCCTTGAGCCATTTTGTTGCTCATATTTTTTTTTACCACAACTATTATTTGTCTTGTTTTTTTATAAAAAAAAAAAGCTAAGTAAAAAAAAAGAAGAAACCAGTTCCCGGGTAAATCTTGAAACCGAACCGGACAAACGGTAGGTTCCATGGTCGATTCAAAGACAGACAGGGTAGGTGGGAACCGGTTCTAGCAAGACAATTCCAAGTTCCAAATTTGTAACCTATTCACGTTAAAATCGATAACCCCTGATTAAAACAAGCTAACGATGATCATGTTCTAGTCACTCGCCTTGGTGTTTCGCAATGACCCGTCCTTTTCTGCCCTGGTTTCGCATAAGTTCTAACGTGCAAGTAATGATTTTTTTTTTTTTTTGGTCTTTTTGCCCTTTTAGGGAGCTCGAATTTCCCGATTTATGCAATAAACAATTGAGCACCGCAGAAGTAGTAGGAGTCGATGATTCACAGTAGGGATGGGTGCTTGTTAATGATTGAACTTTTGTCGGCGAAAGTTAACTTTTCCATAGATCATAATATGAAAACCAAAGTAAATGGAACGGTATTGGAGCTCTAAACCACTTTTAAACCTCATTTAATTTCGATAATAATGTTAGAGATTTTCGATAATAATTTATTATATTTTCTTCCTTCAACTCTTTTGATTAGTTCTTCACTTTATTTGTATCTCCTTACTTAACAAATATTTTTTTGTTTAGATTATCTTCTTATTTTTTGCATATACACGAGCATCATAAGTAATGTACTTGAGATATATATATATATATAAGAAAATATTCGAAATGACTTTACAGAAAATATGGGCAGCGTGAAATATCATTTAATTTTCAGACATACATTAGTTTCGCTTAATACTAAGTGGTGTGTGTGTATATATATATTTTTGTTGTCCTTTTCTTATATTTTGTAGAAAAAGTGTGCGCCATGCTTGTCATTTAAGATTGCAAGATACTTCCGCGTTACCTAAGGCTTGTCGTCTTACGAAATTAATTTCTTCTGCACTTTTGATAAATTATTTATAAAAGTATGAAATTAAAAAGAAAAAGCCGTAAAGGATGAAATAATTGAACCCTGCCGATCATACTGTTTCCCAATATAAACTATGTTTTCGACGTTCCAGGCAACACCACCATAGGAAAAGATGAGGGAGACCATAGTCCTCTATCCGTCGCCATTGAGGGGTCACATAGTCGCCATGTTCGAGCTCGGACGACTCATTCTCAACCACCAACCTCGCTTCTCCGTCGTTATCATCCTCTCCTCCGGCTCGACCGCCGCCCCTGTCGCCGACTACCCTTCCGTCACCGTTATCCACCTTCCATCCGCCGCCGCCGCCGCCGCCGAGCGCGACCAAACGCCCTTCGATTTGGCCCGCTGCGACACCCCCAACCTCCGCCTCGCCCTCGCCGGCGTCGCCGCCGCTGCGGACCTCCGGGCCCTCATCATTGACGGCTTCTCAGATGCTGCCTTCCCTGTGGCAGCCGCCCTCGGCATCCCGACCTACTACTTCTCAACCTCTGGTGCCGTTGCCCTGGCCCTCTTCCTCCACTTTCCGACTCTCCATGGGAGGACCACCAAGAGCTTCAAGGACCTTGGAGACAAGACCGTGAACATTCCCGGGTTGCCTCCAATCAAGGCCTTGGACATGCCGAGCGGCATGCTTGACCGAGGCTGGGCAATCTACGGCTACTTCTTGGATGCTTGCAGGAACATGATCTCGTCGTCTGGCATCATCGTTAACACGTGCGAGTCCCTTGAGACTCGGATCATCAGTTCCATCAAAGAAGGATTGTGCGTGCCGGACGGGCTGACACCGCCTATTTTTGCCGTCGGGCCTTTGGTTGAGTCAAAGGTCGACAGCGACGAGAATGGTGGTGAAGAGAGAGAAAGAAAGCACGAGTGCTTGAGTTGGCTCGACTCGCAACCGAGCCGAAGCGTCGTGTTCTTGTGTTTCGGCAGCCAGGGAAGGTTCTCCGCCGTGCAGCTGAAGGAGATGGCCTCAGGTAAGCTTTAGTCACTTCAGTGATTGACTACCCTTTTTTGTTACGAGAATGTTGTTGACATATAAAACGCTATTGTCCAGGATTGGAGAGAAGCGGGGTGAGATTCTTGTGGGTCGTGCGGCCTCCGCCGCAGGATTTTTCGGCAAAATCAACATCGGGGTCAAATGACGACGACGATGCGAGCTTAGAGAAGTTCTTGCTGGAGGGGTTTTTGGAGAGGACAAGAGAGAGGGGGATGGTGGTGAAGTCATGGGCACCGCAGATCCAGGTGCTGAATCACAGCTCGGTGGGCGGGTTCGTCACTCACTGCGGCTGGAACTCGATCATCGAAGCGGTGCGTGCTGGGGTGCCGATGGTGGCCTGGCCTCTCTACGCGGAGCAGAAGGTGAACAGGGCGTTTCTCGTGGGGGAGGCCGCTCTGGCTCTCCCTCTGAGCATGTCAGACAAGGACCGGTTCGTGAATGCGGACGAGTTAGCCAAGCAGGTCACCGAGTTGATGATGGGATCGGGAGAAGGAAAAGTGGTCAGAGAGCAGGTCTTGGCCGCGAGAGACGGCGTGCTGGAGGCCTTGAGCGACGGCGGATCGTCTCAGGTTTCATTGGCCGCGGTGGCGGCATTATGGAAACGAGGCTGAGACCTAGTCCCACTCACTGTCAATTGATCAGTGGACCTCAACGGGGAAGTGCTACAACGCCCAAATCATAGTACCATGTCAGAACTGTTTGTTATTTAGATCTGTGACCGAATGGTCTTCGAAAAACCAGTTTTCCCATTTGGAAGTTCTAATGCTCACATTCTGAAGGAGACGCATGTTATCAAGATTTACCAAGACCCACGTCGAGTTCAAAGAAAAAGGGACATGTTTGAACATGTTCAACAAATGCATATTTATTGATTCTGTCCAGTGGAATGCTGCATCTGAAACGGCAAGCATAGAGAACAAGTGACAGAATAAGGAAGGAAAGATGGAACAAGTAATAAAGCAGAACATAGAATGAGGAAAAGACCAATCATCAATCATAAAGTTGGAGGCGACAGTGACACACTCGTCGACAGAAAATTATTACAGAAGCTAGTTCCCTCACCTACGCCGGGTGCACTGGCCCATACACAAGCCAACGCTCTCCGGAAGCCTCACTGGTTACACGGAAGTCGGAGGCGAGGTGGGTAGGTTCCACCGCACAAGCAAGCTTATTCCAGTAAAAGCGCCCTTATCACAGCAACGCAAAGATCGCTCTCGAAGATGCACAAGTGTCCGCCGTTGGGCACCTCGTGGTAACGAATCCATGGAAGTTTCCCCGCAATGTACTGGTTAATCTCACAAGGAATTATGCGGTCTTCCAACCCTTGCCAAATGTGAACCCAGCCCTGATTGTTGGGAAAAGGGTTTTCCAGTTCCAGGGGATCAAATTCCCAGCTTGCATAACCTGCTATTAAATCCCGGTGTAGAGATTCATGAACACCTTGCTGCCGTACCTTTTCCTGAATTCCAAAACATTGCAGTTACACAAAATGTTTCTAAATTTTTCATGCCGACTTTGATGACCCAAAAATGATCGCGCTTTCCCAACTAAGTCACAGAAAAGAAATGGCTGATCGATTTGTTTTCAAACACTATCCATCAAACAAATCAAGTAAAACCAGGAGATGGTCAACACATGTATGCAGATCTCAATCAGAAAAATCTCAATGAGGGAAGTCATCTCCAGTAGCATCTGTGTCTACATGTTCTGAAAAAATGGTTTTTCATCAATATGTTAAGCCAACGCAGATCCCCAGCCTTTAGTGCATCTGAGCAGGAAATAGCTTCGCATTTGCAGCACAAGCTTTTAAAGTGAAACATCTCTCGGCAAGGAAATACTTCGGTTTGCATCGACATAACAAAATGCATACTACTCTTATAAAAGCATAAGAAAATACAAGTTACCTGACAAAGGTTAATTTTGTCCCCACAACTCTTGATAATTTCCAAATCTCCCGGGCTGAAAATCCTCATGTTTCCAGCCATTATGCTTAGCGAGGTAAACCATTTTTGGGTCATCCACCAGTAAAGTAACCAAGGGGCACGATGAGCGACTCGAAATGTCCATTGATCGGGCACTAGCAATTTTCCAAAGGCCTCCCTTAATAGCCCAGAAGGAAATGAATGCCACCAGTAGTGCACAAAAGGGACAACTAGGGAAGCTCCTGATAACCTACACGTGAGGATGGGTCAATAAACATGAAAAGTTCAAAACATCTACTTAAGCGGGCAATCAAACTTGAAAAGCTAATGGCTAGAACAATGCCTGTGGGGTATATATCTGAGGCAACCCCAAGCAGGGTAGGCGCCGATTGAGATCCCAATCACATAAAATCTGGACCCAATCTGTAACTGGTCAGCTAGTTCTTGAATATCTGATGCCTCGTTTTTCACGGAGCGAGAAGGATTTGGATCACTATCCCCATAACCTGCTCTGTCGTAGAGAAGAAAGTATATTTTTAGCTCCTCTATAAGTTCCTGTAAAAGAAAATATAATGATCAATGTACCATATCCACAAGACTTTTACCACATCTGATTAAGACGCAGAAATGCCGGCAATCAATCACCATTAGGAAAGGACTACTCGCATCAGATTGCGAAATCAAAAGGCATTACTGCAGAGGGCGAAATGAAAATCCATGATGCAAAAACGGATCATATTTTTGCTCAGTGCAAAATGCCACCAACAGTTTTTGGTTTTCTTCACCCAAAAGGACCTCAATTCAACATCCTCGTATCCAAAGCTGTTATGTGATAGTGCAATAACATTCTTATGCCGAATTTGCCACCTTTAACTTTGCCAGTATGGCTAAATTTTTTTTATTCAACAATGAATTTTCTCCCATAAAGTACGTATCAGGAAATAAACACACTCGAGACAATGCAGTAATTCGATACCACGCTCACCACATGAGAAATAGGTGACAATTAGCGGTCAGTCAAACCATACGATCTACATCAGTAAATTAAAGCAGAGACGTTCATTACTTGAGGAATTGGCAAATTGAGATCCTTGGAGCTGTCGAACCCATGGATTATAATAACTTTATACTTAGCCTCTTCCTTCGGAGTGCCGATCTCCCTGTAAGCTAAATACCTCCCGTCACTGAGTTTGACTCTGGGGGACGTGACTGGAGGACCATTTCTCGAGCCACATATCTTTGGAGGTGGAGGCTTCAATGCCCGGTATGCCCATCTGAGAACACCTACCACCACTGCCACCGCAATAGGTCCCAACATCGCTGGAAACGAAAGGAGTGGCCATTGAGTAATCTTCCAGCTTAGAAAGAGACAATATTAACATGCCCTAGAAGCCACGTACAGATATGCATATATCAACAACCTAGAGTATAACAGCAACCAGCATTCTCCCCCACGATCAAGATGATGTTTCAGTCCTAGTTAATATGATAAATCCTCTGATAGTTCTATAATCACTTCTTTCTCCTTTCCTCTTCCATTTATTTAATATATATAGTCACGGCAAGTTAGACATTCATTCAAGCTCAGTCACTGATCATCAAGGATCGTTAAGCAAACCCCATAGCCTGTCATAGCTTATTGACCAATTAAAGCATGAATTGTACTCAAATTGCCAAACACAAGAAGCAAAGCAGAACAGTCCGTGGCGAAACGATGCCTGTGAAAATTTCATCCTGTGATCGCAACCAATTAAAATAGTAAAGGTAACATAAAATAGCTTGTGATGCGCGGTAAAGATGGTCGGAGAACTTTATGCGAATCATATTGAAGCCTCTCCTTTATGCATTTATGTCGATCCAAGTCACTTAAATCAACAATCGACTAGCCATAAATTGGACTCAAACTCAAACGTTTCACTCTTTAAAATTCCAGAAGCAGCCATCCTCTTCGCAGCTTGCCCTGCTAACCAAGTACTCAAAAAACCTTTTGTCTCTTTCCTAATCTTCTGCTTCTAAGTAAGCATTCCCTGGACTCTGCAATCCAAACCGAGAACGACCCCTCACGAAAAAGTAGCAGCTCGACCGCACGCCCCAAGCTCAAAAGCGTTTCGTTCATCATCACAGCAAAAAATGCGAACTTTCCCAGTTATACCAACACCCACTGGGGCACAGAAATTCCCTGAAACCACGAAGGGAAAGCGAGCGACGCAACAAAATTCACGGAAAAGAGAGACGAGAAAACCTCGAGTCGAACCGACTTCTTTCTGGGTCGGAGTCCCGCGCCGTCGAATCAGAGCAAACCCGAAGCGTCAGGATCTCGCCCGGTGGATTTTTAGTAGCAGAGCTAGTCACTACACTGGAGAAGCGAGACCGAAAGAGACCCACAGGAGAACGTGAGCCGCCGAGCTGTCCCGAAAGAGACAAACGATGTTTGAGAGCTTTGTCGCCATGAACGGTAGTTGAGCGTCAACTTCATTGCTCGATCCATCGCAAGACTATGTCGTGCACTTTGCTTCTGCTACTATAACCCATTTCAAATCACTGACCAAAATAATTGAGTTCAACCATTCGACGGACATCGACCGGTGAGTCCTAGTTAATCGTCCGAGTCCCATCCCCACATGGAAGATACCATGTTTTACCAAAAATTACTGAAATCACGATACAATATAGTTCCTGAACTTTGATCAATGTGTAATTTGATTCCTGAACTTTTAATTTGTTCAATATAGTCCATGAACTTTGGTCAATGTGCAATTTAATTCCTGAACTTTTAATTTGTTCAATATAGCCCATGAACTTTTTTATAATGTTCAATGCAGTTCCTTAAATTTTAATTTATTCAATGTCGTCCCTAAACTTTTAGTACATGTTCAATTTAGTCCATAAACTACATGTCATATTTTCATATAATATATGGACTAAATTGAACATGTACTAAAAGTTTAGGGACGACATTGAACAGATTATAAGTTCATGGATCAAATTGTAAATTGAGCCAAAGTTCATGACTGTTTGTGTCTTTTTTCCAAAATTACTTAATAAAATTCCCAGAAAATACAGGAAGGTTATGTACAATTCGACGACTTTATCTTCCTCATTACACTCCAACCATTATCATGACAGGAGGCCTTCAAATCACCCTGAACCGGTCATGCATCAGTTCATCGCGCTTCTTCAACATCGCAACGTGAGCCCGATGAGGCTGAAATAGTCAAATCCAGCGACTAGAATAAGGGCCCGAAGCCTTCGTCAATGACTCGTTCAGGCCCATCAGGCCAGTTCTGATTTTGCTCCGTTGAGCTTGAGAAATCCAATTGGAAAATTTGAAGCGGTCCAAAGTAACAAAGCCTCAACTTATCCTTACCCTTCGTTCATCTGCACACTGTCATTGATCTAGCCACGAAATGGAATTCAATTCAAGCTTTCAATGCACACTTGCGACCTGGGAGATCAATCATCTAGTCATTGTCGTCTGATCATTACAGTACATCGCGAGTCCAACTTGACCAAACAACCGCCATTTCGCTCTTTCAAAAATGGGTAGTCTAATAGATAACGGGCGATCACCCATCTCGATTTTCCAGGAGGTGCATGTCCCCGAAAAATGAATTGAAATCTTTGCCTTCTTCCCCTCCTTTTATCAGGAGAGATGGGTCTTGGAGAGGTGCTGAAAATTGACTCAAGGGCAAGGTACAAAAGAAACTGTATTGCACTTAAAAGTAGACATGGCCACGGTTCGGAACCGGCCGGTTCCGGTTCGTGGCCATGTGTGAACCGGAACCGCCCCTAGCGGTTCCGGTTCGTAATTTAAAAATTTTAAAAATAAATTATGAAATAAAAAAAAATAATGAATTATAAAATTATGAAATAATGAATTATTCAATATAAATTGTAATCAAAATAAAAATTGTAGGGGTGATCGGTTCCCGGTTCGATCCGGCTCAGAACCGGTAAGACCAGTCCCTTAATTTTAGAACTAGGAACCGGACCGGCAAATCATAGAACCGGGAACCAGACCATTGATCCGGTTCTAGGCGGTCCAATGGAACCCTTTGCTCTTAACTAGCAAAGGATCGTAGCCACAAAAGGCATATAACTTCATATGCTCATGGCTTGACTTGGGTTTTATACACAACCCCTTTGATGGTCTCTTCATTCCCATTCGATGTGGGACTCTTGGCATTTACATGAAGACAAGCCAAGAGTCTCACATTAAAGGTGTTCAAGGCGAGTCGAGAGTCCCACATCGAATGGGAACGAAGAGACATTAGAATCATTGTGTATAAAACCCAAGCCAAGCCTTGTAATTAGAGTTCAATACACCCAAGCCAAGCATTATAATTAAAGATCAATGCACTTACAATGCTTGGCAATTAGAGTTCAAATTGTTTTATAAAAAAAAATTAAATAATGAATTTTTTTAAAAAAAAAATTTCATTATTATTTAAAAATAATAATAATAATTTGGAACCGGAACCGGAACCGGGCCCGTAGGCCACGGGCCGGTTCCAAACCGCGTGCCCGGTCAACGGGCCGGGCTCGGGTTTTACCGGGCCGAAACCGGTCCGTGGCCATGTCTACTTAAAAGTCTATGTGGACTTCTTTACTTTTGCCCCTCAAGTCTACGAGCTAGTCTTACCGATTCACTGAATGTAATTCCAGTTAGTTATCTATATAAAAACTCCTATCTAGCTTAATGAATGATGTAAGGATGCACAAAACAAAAAGTATCCATTATCTCCCTAAGATTGGCTTAGCGATTAAGTACGGACCAATGTGCATACATCGGGTGCATGACACGGGTTCCATTTCGTCCCGTTCTGCCTAATCAATCCGGTTTGTTGCCCATTCAATTGGGTGGCTGGGATATTTCGTCGACCCGAGATTTATCCTTTAAATTATGTTTAATTCGTCATTAAACAAAAAACAGAAAAGGAAGAGGTATCCCTTTTTTTTTATAGGGGCCTGTGATATCTGATGGGGCTAAAACAACTGAATAAATGGCTGGACACAAGGAAAAGAAGTCACAGAATCTAGGGAAGCATTAAGCAGTGTTATCTAGGGGAATAATGTTGAAAAAGAGTAACTCAATTCTTTTTCCGAATGTGGCAATCCACTTTCTCCCATCACCAATTTAGGCATGCCTAAGTAGAATCTACTTTACTGCAAAATGTGCCTAACACCACAAACTTTGCCTCTGATCAATGGCAATTTTTAATTGGAGTTTCTTGGACTTAATTGATATTCAAAGCATGTTCTCCTCCACACTCTCACAAAAGGCCAACTTAATGATGTGTTGTGGACAGATGTCCTGATGGCAACGATCACAAGAGAACATCTCCTTTTTTTACCTGATATACAAAAGGGCCTCGAGTCTCTCCCCGTTAGAGAATGATGCAGGATCTGCCAAAATACTTACTGTCTTTCTTCCTATCTTTTATTCTTGTGAAAAGAAGCAAAGTTGAGGATGAACTCGGAGGACTGATTTTGGTGGACACCCCATGCTTTAAAAAGCCTAAACCTTTTTCACGTTTCCTTCCACAGTTAAAGGACACTTTGATCTGTAAAATAATATCATTTCGATTCAAGTGAGCTGAGAAAAGAGAGCTGCATGCTAGTACTGTTGGTACATGTGTGATTCTCTTTCTGCCCAAACAGTTATTTGCATTGATATGATTCTTCAGCTAAAGCCGCACCATGCCTGATCAAAGGTTGCTGCATAACATGACCATGATAAGGAGGTCGTTGAACTTTTATTTTGTAAACTCAAGTCAATCACATTTTAAAGATCACTCGGTTTGGTGAACTCACATACCACATGATGGGTCGTACAAATTATCGCAAAGCACTCCGTACAATTTGGATAGACATCACGGTGCGATATTTAAGTGCAAACCTAACTAATTGTCTGACTATCTAAGTACTTCTTTAGAAAATAACAAAAATTTACTGCATCAAAAGATTCTTGCACAAATCAAGTGAATTACCAATATCAAAAGCGTATAATGTTACATTTGGTATGAACTCAACCTATGTAAGTTAGATTCAAGCAACGGGAAATTACCAAAAAAGTCCTAAACCTATTGCATTTGTGCCAATTCAGTCATAAGCCTTTCAGTTTAATTAATTCAATCCTAAACCTATTACACTTGTGCCAATTTAGTTCTAAACCTTTTAATTGTGCCAATCTAGTTCTAAACTTTGTTATGATTTGCTAATTTAGTCCTTCCGATTGTCTAGTTAGCGTTGGCCATCCTATGAGGTATGATCGGTGTTGATGTGGACAATTTTCAATTTAACCAATTTAATCCTAAAAATTGTCTGCGTCAACGCCGATCATGTCACGTTTGATGGTCGGCATTAACTAGATTGCCATGTCAGTGACTTCCAACCAAAATTGACCAAAAGGACTAATCTGGTAAATTATTAAAAAGGTTTAAGACTGAATTGGTACAAGTGTAATAAGTTTTAGAACTAAATTAATTAAATTAAAAAGGTTTATGACTGAGTTAATACAAGTATAATAAATTTAGGATTGAAAGGTTTAGTACAAGTACAATTTTCAATTTATGATCCTTATCCTTCATCCTTCATAGATGGGAGCTGTTTCTTATTGAATTCTTCCCTTTTTTACCCTGTTTCTGAAACTGTACTTTGCTTTTCCTCTTTTGTTTGTTATGCTTCCTTTGCTTTAGTTCCCCTTTCTGGACTTTCTGGAATTATGTGCTACGCACATGTTAGAGAGAGAGAGAGAGAGAGAGAGAGAGAGAGAGAGAGAGAGAGAGAGAGAGACCATCAGTTTGATTCTTGATCTCAACACTATAAAAAGGGTACTTCACCATCAATGCCCAATGAGAAGCCTCCAAAGGACACCACATAACCAGCTAATTATCCAATCCTCAAACACCTTGCCCCTTTCTCTCTCTCTCTCTCTCTGTTCTTTTATTGGCTGTGCCCTATATTGATTTCTCATGGCAAGAATGTCTGATCCACTCGTGGTTGGTCGAGTGATTGGGGATGTGATCGACTGTTTTGCAACGAGTGTCAAAATGACAGTCACTTACAACTCCAACAAGCATGTGTTCAATGGCCATGAGCTCTTCCCTTCCGCTGTTACCACTAAGCCTAGGGTTGAGGTTCATGGTGGTGACATGAGGTCCTTCTTCACACTGGTAACGATTGACTATTACCCCTCTCGGGGTTGTTTTTTTCCTCCATTTTGGGCTTAAAAGTTGATTAACTATAACGTGCTAGTTCTAATGCATGTATGCAGGTTATGACAGACCCAGATGTTCCTGGTCCTAGTGATCCATATCTAAGGGAGCACTTGCACTGGTAATCACCAATAATTACCCTCTCCAAGCTCAGATCAAGATGAAATCTTCCTATTGCTTATATAAAGATCACCACTCCACAATAAAATATGTGGAGAAGTTTCTCTAATCTTTTGTTTCGACACCTGTGCGTGGGTGTGTGTGTGTGCGAGGGCTCGCTGTATAATTTTGATTTCCCATGTCATAAAGTGGAAACTGTCTATGTTTGGGCACGGCCACCCAGATTTTGACTCGTGTCTTGTTTGGTCTTTCACGTTAATCAGCAGGATACTCCATGACCTGGTTTACATTCTAACTAGACTTCCATTAGGTTTTTTAGGACTGGACGACAGTTCACGATACATGTGTGAAAACCCAATGTTCTTATGAGTTTTGAGTGTGAATCCCATCTGTTTTTAGGGTATTAATTGGTGGTGGAATCTATAGTAAGATAAATTTGGTTGATATTGAATCATAAAGGATATAAAAGTCCACATCTAATGATGCGAGCCAGTCGGGTCCTCCAACACGAAACCACGGTCATCCGAGGATCAATTTGCTCATGAGAAGCAAACTTCGACAAGACATGAAAGTAGATCACTCCCAAGTTTAAAGCATTTACATGTTGGCTGTGACTCGGTAACCAGAGAATACAGAAAAAGCAAATCCCTATGTATCATTCAAGAAAAGTGGCACGGCACTTGTTGTTTAAATATGTACTATTGATCCGATTGTATTGCTTACAGGATGGTTACGGACATCCCGGGTACAACAGATGCCACATTTGGTAAGTCTCTCTCATCTCTTAGAGAAGGTATTACCTATACATGTAATGCATGCGAGTCCATCTCCCATGCACTCTTAGATCGGATGAGCCCAACATGGATCCGGCCGATTCATGAAAATTGGGTTCCTATGATTTGGTGCGGTTACGATTTTCCTGTCTTCTATCATTCCCCAACACAAGCACCAACTCACAATCCCGCACACGTGCATACATAAGCATAAAAGCACACTCATTAACCAAATGTTCAATGTTCTTTCAAAACATAATAGGTTCAAACTTTCCATCCGAACTAACCGATATGGATCTACATAAAATGCCCAACATTCGAATATGCTCAACCGGCTACCTGGTCAATATTTAGGGGTCAATAATATCAATATAACAAAGGAATCTGCATAAGCCGCTTTATAGGAAATGGACATGTATGCTAATTAGCATTTGTTGGATTACTGTGCACATTGTCAACCTCTCAACTGACCACACTGTCATGAAAGCTGCCTTTTCCACTTACCACCAGCGGAATAAAGATCATTGATCAATCCCTTCCCTTTTTTAACTTCGTTTCGGCGTGGTGTGCATCATCACCCATTGGACAACACAGGAAAGGAGGTGGTGGAGTACGAGATGCCGAGGCCCAACATAGGAATCCACAGGTTCGTCTTCATCCTGTTCAAGCAGAAGAAGAGGGACATGGTGAGAGGCCCTTCGTCGAGAGACCGCTTCAACACCCGACAATTTGTGGAAGACAATGAGCTCGGTCTTCCCGTCGCAGCGGTCTACTTCAACGCTCAGAGAGAAACAGCAGCCAGAAGACGTTGAAAGACAGACAACCACAACAATAAGGACAGTGAAACTGTGTGTGCAAGATGGATGGACGTTCATGCATGTGGATGGAACCCTAGTTTATTATGATGTGATATAGCTTAAGAGAAAGCTTTCTATAACGCGTAACGTGTGTCAAGAAGACTGCTGGTGGTCAGAATAAAGATATCAATGTCACGGTGAGTGTGGATTCCGAAATGGACTCCGATGTAACGCTATAGTGTGTGTTTCGTCTTGTATTTTACGTCTTGCAATAATAACAAGTTAGGATGCAAAATGTTTGCCAGGCAAGATGACCCAAAAAGCAATCGTTTGCTTTAATAGATGAATCGGCATCATTCCAGTAGTTGGACATTTTTCGAAGCTCGAAATAAGGGGCGAGAGCCGACACTGGCGCCATCTCTTGTCTCTTTCGCGCATGTCTAATCCCACCATTCTGGCATATGTAAACCGCTTGAATGGATGTAAAAAATGTTCGAAGAATTCTCAACCTTCTTCGAAGAGAACAATCGTAATAGATAGATGCAACGGTACTAGTTTTGATCATCGACACGAATCTTAACTAATTCGATGCTTAAGTAGTAGATGATGCAAAGGTACTAGTTTTGCCCGATCTGATTGTTCTATATATGGCAATGTTCAGTACTTCACATAATATTTGTTTTGTTGAATTTGGCCGTAGGGTTGTAGTACCTCACTGTGGGTACGGCATCGAGCACCAGTTATAGCTACCTTTCTTTCCTAAGTACAATTATTATCTATAGGGAGCTCTTGGTTGTCCATTCTATTCCATCAACTAGAGTGTTAACCCGGGTGGTTACCACCGGATCGAAAAGATTTAACGATCACAACATCATCGGTCATTGTTATCCTAAGAACTTGATATTATAGCTTTGCTTAGTCATCTTTCAATTTTTTTTCACATTTATAGCACTATGTATAAATCTCGATTTATATGTAAACATTTCGAAGAGAAGTTTCCAAGGTTTTGTACCGACAGCATACCCACATTTCGCTGCGCACAATCTTTTCTTATTAGCAAATTTTCATTCAACCTATTTTTAAGCTTTAGCACTATAATGATGATAGCACCATATACTTTATAGTTTCACTTAAAATATACAATTAACCAAGTCATTTCTTAGATTCCCCAAATTAGAAAACATATGTGTTATAAAATAAAGTTAGATAGAAACCCTCCTTTCATCTTATTTCATAGACCGCGTGCGAAGAAAATCAAATCTTATAATACTTTTATAAGCAATAAAATTATTTCAATATCATTATTTTTCTAAAACACCGAATGTATTTGTTGAAATCTTATATCATCAAAGGTCAAACAAATACCATATGTCCTTTCATAGTATTTAATCTTGTTAGATTGCAAGTCAAAATCTCACACTGAAATTATAAGTTTGTATTGGATGTGATAACAAAATACAATGATTTTCCTAGAGTTTTATCTAAGTACAACGAAAGACTAATGGATACAAACAAAATTAAATTAAAAAGATATATCTTATAGAGAGACATTCTTATGAATCAATAAAGCAAATAAAACGAACTGATCTGGTAAAGAATCTAACTTTTTAATCAACAAATTAATTCATCATTTCGTTGACACTCTTTTTATCAGACTCATTTTTCTTTTCTTCACTTTAGTTTGATAAAATGAACTAATTTGATAAGAAAAAACTAACTCCAAATGCTAAGACTAATAAAAAAAAATTGACACATGGCACAATGCGTTCATATAGGGTACATGTTCATGTCTAACGGTAACAAAATCCTAAGATATAATAACACAGACCCTAATACACAAAACTAAATATATTTCCTCTTATTATTATACACATTTGAGTGTGAAAATTCTTTTAAAAAAAAAGAAAAAATCATAAGTAGTTGGTATATGTGTATTCACTCAAATATCATACAAGGTATTGTGTATCTTTTACATGGTGTCCTACATAGGGTACAAGACATAAGACACAATGTGAATGTAGGGTAGATATGATTGTTAAGGTGTGGTTCATACTTTCCATCGATAGAATGGCACGAAAGTCCTGCTCCAGTCTAAGAATGAACCAAAATAATCTTATATCTCGATTTCTCTTTATAGCATTTATTTTTTATTTTATTGTGTTTATACGCTTAATTTTAACAATAACGTTAAATCCCAAATTTAATCTGAGATTTTTGAAATCGAAATCTACCCTACGACTTCAAATACCTGTCCTGAAACCTACCCAATCATACCGGTGTTGCACGTGTCATAGATTCTCTTGCGCACCCTAGTGCAGACCATCATTTGTGGGAGGCAGGGCCATAGATCACAGAAGTATCCACAAAGTTGGCACGTCACCTCATAATTTTCCTCTCTGTCGGAAGAAAACCTTTCGTTTTCACAGCTTAAATTGACTGCTTTATTTCCCCAGGGATGGCATACTTCCATCAATGTGTATGACCTGTGCATGCATGGCATTATACCCAGTTTTAGGGATCAACAGAAACGGGCGACCCCCACCGCAAAGCCACCGAATTTGGCATCCAAACGTGATTGTCCCTGAAACTCGGCTACAGGCAAGATGGCTTGGGTGAAGAATATCTGCAGAACCTGTGCGTGACAACCTGTGAGAAGTGGGGTACACATGAAGGATTATGAGTGCATGTGTTAGCTCTTAGCTGTTGCAGTTTTGCAACCTGCATTTGAATGTGTCGCTGCTTTTCTGCAGTCTCTTCCTCCCTTTTCCCCTTTCGACTTGATTTCTCGTTGGGTACAGCATGTTTTTGGTACGGGGTCTTGCACTGTTCCGGAAAGATGCTTTGGTTACTTCAGTCAAGAGATAATGATACGCCTGCTACTGCTAGTTTTTGGTTTATATGCTAGCGAGTGCATAGGTGTGCGTTGGAAAGGGCTGGGCAAAGAAACGGCAATGATGCATTGGACTATCACGGTAAGGGATGGAGCTAAGTTTGTTCATCTTTTTTTTTTGCTAAATCAGCTAAGTTTGTTGATCTACTTCAAGTAAAGATCGGACGTAAACCAAGCCCTATTTATAGGCGTACACCACCGCCTCTCTGCACCAAATATCTCTGCATGGCAGAGAGATTTTTCTTGCCTTCATCCTGATCCACGCAATACTAGATACTTTAGTACTGTTCTTAGAAATTTCTCATGCGTGCTCGTCCTCAGGGTGTGTAAAAAAATCGAAAATCATTGTGATCACCTGGAACAGTCCAGAATCGGATCGGAATCGGTGGATCTTAAGGGAACCGGTCCGGTTTCCGATTTCAATTTTTGAGAACCGGTGAGTACCAGTCCAGTTCTCGATTCTAGGTGTAGAACCTTACACCCGCCCACTTGGATCGGTAATATAATAATAATATAATATATTTATTTAATTTTTAATTTTTTTATAAAAAATCCTAAATCCCTAAACTAAACCTAATTCGCTTGACGCTCACAGTTTCACATTGAACTGAGAAACACATTCTTTTGCTTTCGCTTCACACTCACTCTCACTCTCTCTCTTCTCGGTCGATACTCACATTACCGTCTCCGACTCTCCGTCTCCGTCTCCGTCTTCGTCTTTCCGTCTCCATCCTTGGTTAGTGAGACCGGTTCCATGGAATCAACGGGCGATTTCTGATTTCAATTTTTCGGAACTGATCTTTAGTGGGCGACTCCCAGTTCTAGAATGGAAACTGCCCACCCGTACCATGCTCGCCCCTACTAGACTCTTCTAGACATAACCTGTGCATGTTAGACTATCATGAAGATTGGATCAATTATTTTAACAAAGCCGAAAATCTGTGTGATGAATTCTGGCAAGTTGGCTTCTTCCTTTCTTGACCCCATTGATTAAGCGAGTACCATCGATGTTGTTCTCGTGGATGAACATGTGCTGCTTACGTGGTTCTTTATGCATGTACGTGCGTGTCATAAAGAGAGAAGCGGTCAGGAGAAAATATTTTCTCAGCGGTCAGGTTGCATGTGCTGCTTACGTGGTTCTTTATGCATGTACGTGCGTGTCATAAAGAGAGAAGCGGTCAGGTTGCTTGAGAGAGAGAGAGAGACAGAGAGAGAGGTGGTGGATCCACAGAGAGGTGAGTGGTGGTGGATCCACAGAGAGGTGAAGAAATTAAAGAAATTAGATAGTGGAACCTTACATGGCAGTAAAATGGGAAAATAGAACGAATTGGTTATGGAATATAGATGGCAAAAGGATATTAGAATTGTCAAAAATTTTCATACCGCATTTACTTTAATGCCAAAAGTTTTTATTAGCTCACTAAAGTGCTAAATCGGAGAATAAATGCCCCATTTGGTTTAGCTTTCTCAAGGGGCTTTGAGCCCCTAAAGCCTCTTGAGAAAAATATGAGGTGTTTGGCAAGCATTTTTTAGACCTCATTGGTCAAATGCTAATATTGGGAATGCTGAAAGCCCAAAGCAGGGAGGGACCTGCTTTGGGCATTCTCGGAATACTATAGTAGCGATTTAATGACTTTTTTTTCTTTCCAATATTGTCCTCACTGATCATTATGTGTTTCACTTTTGCCCTAAAAAAAACATTCATCTTCTTCCTCAAGCGTGCTGTTGCGCGTGCCGTCGAGCCACTGACTTCATCGGAGGCGCTGTCTTCGTCGGAGTTGCTGTGGGTCGAGGTCAAGATTGAGGGTCAAGCGACCCAGATTTGGCCGACCCAGATCTGGCCGACCACAGTCGTGTGACCTTGTGTCGCGCATTCTTGGCGACCCCAGGCGACGGCCGTCCTCGACCACTCCAGGCATGTCCGTGGGTCGCGCGACCTCAGGCGGCCGTCACCTGGGGTTGGGCAACCCCCGGCGAGGGCCACCTAGGTCGTGCGACCCTCGTCGGGGGTCGCCCCACCTCAAGTGACGGACGCCGGCACCAGATCTAGCTCGCCGGCGGTCGCCCAACCTCGGGCGATGGCGGCCGGTGCCTGGCTCGTCGGCGGCCGGTGCCTAGCTCGCCGGTGGCCGAAGCCCTTCGCCGGGTCTGGTGAAGGGTAACCCTTTTTTTTAATAAAAAAGAAAATCTCAAAGCCCTTTGCAAAACAAAATAGCCAAATAATACTTGGGCCAAAATAGCTTCACAAAGAATATTTTACCAAACCCATTCGCATTTCCCCAAGAGGTTTTAACCTAAAGGTATTTGCATTCTCCCAAGATTCATTTACAAAGTTGAATCAAACGAATCCAAATTATCACTTAAATGCCTCCGGACAAAAATATTATGTGGCTTTTATAATAAAATGTTTAATTTGACATGACATTTTTATGTTAAAGACGAGTCCAACGTGGATGACTGAGGTGGCTGGCTTGCGCATAAACGACGTCTCATGAAGCCCATCTCAAAATAGACAGATTTGTGAAGCTCCATTCAACGCTTGCATTTTGTTCCTAATCCTAGATAAACCGAGACAAAGGTTTTGAATCCTACCTGACCGAAGAGAGATATTGATGAGGAAGTCTGAGTCAAGCATTTCAAGCTTCACGGCCGGAAAACAGAGAGAAACAGAACATTCACTGTGCTTTCTCAAACGCAGGGGCAGTGCCGGTGAATGACGGCGAGCAGTGAAGAGTGGTGACGAGCAACAAACAATTACGAAGAAGATCGAAGTCTGAGTCCAAAAGTAATATTCAATCAAGGTTCTGACTGCTCAAAGATCACACAAGGGAGTCCAAAGAGAAATATTCAATCGCTTGAAGGTGGTGCTAGGTTTTCTGAAGTAACTCCCCAGAGAAAAATCGAAGCTCCGTGTTCTAGCCGCGTTCTTTTTCTCTCTAAAAATCTTTACGCCGCTCTCCTTGAGAAACCCAATGCCCCCCTCTCAACGACGTCCACCAAATCCGAAGTTTCGTTGAAACGAATTTGAGTCGCTTGTCATGGTCTGGCTCTCCGTCGCAAGATTCGACAGTTGGGGGAAAGCCAAATTAGGATTTCGAATTCGGGAAAATGCTTGATTGTTCGATTCAGGGTTTATATTTGGGGTAAAACGTGCAAACGATGTCGTTTAGGGATATACATGCTGACCGGGCACGTTAACGAACCACGTCGGTTGGAGGAATTAATAAAATATTACCACGTTGAATTTCCGGCAACTCAAATCGGAGTTGGCACTTAAGTGATCATTTTTTTAAAAAGTGGCACTTAATTGACTCGACAAAAACTTTTGATATCAAAGTAAGTATCGTATGAAACTTTTGACACTTTTAGTGTCTTTATGTCAATTATAGACAATCTTTTTTAACAAAAATGATATATGAGTGATCAATAATTCTTCGGAAATTGCTAGGTTAGTAGCGTTGAAATTTTGTTCAAATATTGTTTCTATTAAAATAGAATTGAAATGGTAAAAAAATTAAGACTCCGTTTACTTCACGGAAAATAAATGATTTGGAAAATACTTTTCTAAAAATGATTGTTTGTATTACTTAAAAAAATGAATGAACGAAAAAAAATATTTTCATGGTCAATGAAAATGTTTAGACATAAATTGTAGATGATAATGAAAATGTCTTTCATCGACTAATTATTTCAAGCGATATAAAGGATCATTTTTAAGAAAAAAATTTTCAAATCATTCATTTTCCACTAAATAAACGGAGCCTAACAAAAATCAAATTTTACAGTACATAAATAATCTAAGGTAGAAAAAATTAGAGAAAGCATAGTCTATTATACGGCACTTATTTGATGATTTATCACAATTCATAAAAAGTCATGCATCAAAGATTATGCGAGAAATTTTTATCCTCCATATGTTTTTAGAAAATTATTTTTCTATTATATTGCACCAACTTGACAAGTTTTAGGATTTAATTACATTTTTTGAAAGTTTTAAAACTTAATTTCATTTTTATGACCAATCCTACGACTTGATTTTACTTTTTGAAAATCTTACTACTCAATTGCATTTTCGTGACAAATTTTAGGACTTTCGGTGCATTTAATGAAAGGGGTAGTTATTCAATGCAAGTTGGTAGCATTTTTTTTTTGCCAACATGAGAACCTCATAGGTTAGTTAACAATTTAATATTAACCAGAGCAGAGTCTTTTTCTATTTTCTCTCAATATAATTATTCCCTTTTCTTTCTATCTCCTAATTTTTCTCAACCTAAAACAGAGTAGAACTGTAAATTCGGTGTGACACCAATTTGGAAGTTTAGTTTATATATTCTGCGTCATAAGAAACAAAAATGTACGTCTTCAAAAATTTTGCTTTTGATTTTGATTTTAATAAAATAGTTGAATTGACAATTCCTAAATTATACCTACCGTGACATATTGACCTTAAACTTTTCTTTCGTGACACAAAAAATCACTAACTTGTCATTATGTGATACACTTCCCCTTCATCAAAATTCTGTCAATAATGACCATTAAAAACTTGCATTACCTATATGAACGCCAGAAAGCAAATAGTGCTAACATGATACTCACGTAGCTTAAGTGAAGTAAAAATGTATTTGTTTTGGCTGAAAAAAAAGAGAGAAATCTCAAGGGCTTCCGGGCAAAGAGACAAAAAGAGAGAAATCTCAAGGGCATGAGGAGAATTATCCATCAAAACTTGCCAGTTTAAGAGCCTCTTTGGTAAAGTTTTGACTGGACTATGCCATTAGTGGCAGCAAAGAGATGCAACATGACCTCTTCTTAAGCATCACATGAAGGTGAAGATAGAGGAAGACTTTCCTGTTTAACGATGCTATAACGATATCTGTGGAATCTTTAGATTCTTCTTCCCAACCGGGCATTTATCCACATCAGATTTAGAGATCAAAAGGAACTTCAATGCATCACAAGGCGTGCAAGCACGGAGCTCGACTTTTTAGCAGCTTATTGGGTAAGCCGAATATGTAAAATTGTAAAGGGTTAATACCACGAAAAACCCTAAACTGGTACACTTGTGACACATTTACCCCAAACTATTTTTTTTACCATAAAAAACCCCAAACTGGTACACCTGTGACAATTTTACCCCGAACTATTTTTTTGACCATCAAAAACCCCAAACTGGTACATCTGTGACAATTTTACCATGAACTTACCACAAAAAACCCCAAACTGGTACATATGTGACAATTTTACCCTGAATTAAAATTTTAATATTATTTTTTATTTTTTTCGAATTTTTATTTAGTTTCCTTTTATTTTTTTTTCTTTATCTTCAACCTCTGGCCGGTCGCCGGTCCGGCGACCGGCCAGAGGCGGAAGCCGGCGAGGGCCACCCTCGCCGGCGTCGGGCGAGGGTCGCCACGCCGGATCCGGCGAGGCGCCCTCGCCGGCGTCGGCGAGGGCCGCCCTCGCCGGGGTCGGGCGAGGGCCGCCCTCGCCGGGGTCGGCGAGGGCCGCCCTCGCCGGCGTCGGCGAGGGCCGCCCTCGCCGGCGTCGGCGAGGCCGCCCTCGCCGGCGTCGAGCGAGGCCGCCCTCGCCGGCGTCGGGCGAGGGCCGCCCTCGCCGGCGTCGGGCGAGGGCCGCCCTCGCCGGCCCGGGCCGCCCTCGCCGGCCCGGGGCAAGGGCGATCCTCGCCCGACTCAGGTGAGGGCTGTCCTCGCCGGATCTGGCGAGGGCGACCCTCGCCTACGTCGGGCGAGGGCGGCCCTCGCCAGCGGCTGCCGAGGGTGGCCCTCGCCGGCTTCCGCCTCTGGTCGGTCGCCGGACCGGCGACCGGCCAGATGTTGAAGTGAAGAAAAAAAAAGAAAAGAAAAGAAAAAAGAAAAAATTCAAAAAAATTCAAAAAAATAAAAAAATAATATTATAAATTAGTTAGGGTAAAATTGTCACATGTGTACCAGTTTGGGGTTTTTGGTGGTATGTTCGGGGTAAAATTGTCACAAGTGTACCAGTTTGGGGTTTTTTATGGTCAAAAAAATAGTTTGGGGTAAATGTGTCACAAGTGTACCAGTTTAGGGTTTTTCGTGGTATTAACCCAATTGTAAATTGTCATCCCGAAGAGCCTGTTCAGCATTACAAAGAACACGCTCTTTCCGTCCGAAGCCGTTAGGATGAAACGTTCTCCAGTAGCATTAGCGCCATATTCTTGAAGGACACAGAAGATGCCGATACCCGACAAATGCTGAGAAGACAAGCTTCATGCTGTCTTGATTTTCATGTATGCTCGATCTCTTTGTAGCCAAAAGTTAACTACTAATGAGTCGATGATGATCTGCAGCCACAAAATAAACGTCCGGCGGGTACATTGCCGATGAAAACATAATCACCAATAGAGGTTGTAAAAAAGGAAAGAGGAAACGGGATACCTGGGTTATGTGTGCCGCTACACAAGGGAGCACTAGCAGCCCGGGCTCGCCAAGTGCACCGTTCAGCTGCTCTACCACTGCTACTACAATCAGCAGCGCTTTCTGTAAAATTAGGAAGATTCGTGACCTCGATTCCCTACGTTTGCACCTTTTGAACTAGAAGAAGCAATCCTACAACTGAAAGAATCCGCTATCAACAGATAAAATAGAAAAATAGCTGATAGGAAAGGGCAACGAAACTGAGTAATGGATGTTGCAAATGGACGAAAGTACTTATCTGGATATTCACAAAATTCTGAATGCACGAAGATGAATTAGAATATATTTTGCTTTAGCATGGTTATTTCTCACTTTAAACAAAAATAACTGGCATGATAATTCATTAATCACCTTTCAGTACAAAACGATAAGAATCTATTCCTGATTTGTGTCCACTATGAATTCAACCACTGGAAACACACCTGACTACAAACTATCATAAGGGCACGAGCATTCTTTTTGTTCACTAGAGAAGACATCCTTGAACCAGAGGCAGTTGAGAAAATCTTCAAGGCAACGGCATTGAAACCTAGAAAGAGAAGGTGCACCACTCTGCAACATATTGGATACATCAGTTGAAACAAGATTTGAAAATTAGGAAAACCCCAAGTGGACAAATTCCGGTGGAACCATGAACTCACATTCCTAGCCCAATAGCTTTGAGAAAAATTAGTGGCTTCACCATTAAGAGCAAATCTCTTGATTTACTCACTTGCATCCATGGCGTCTAAAGCAAGAAAGGGGCAATTTAACCTAAAAAACAAGGAAGAAGAATCCATCAAGAGCATCTCACGGACAAAAGCTCGATGCACCATGTCATGTAATTTTTCAGATCAAGATTTGGTTCCTTGCGCATATCTATGTCTGAGAAGGAAATTAAGTGCAACCACTTAGATAACAGTCTCTTCACAAATGATAGAAGCATAAATATCAGCCTAATTACATCAAACCGAATAAATCAGTAAGCAGCAAGCACTCGTCTCATTTTCAGTCTACTTAGCACCTTTGGCATTCTAAGGGGGTTAGGAATAGAGAGAAAGGAAAACATTATATAGTCGGTGGGATCAATTTTTCTGAAAATCTCTGAATAGCTCTTGAAAGATTTCAAAGCTTACAAGGCTTAGAAGGATCGTAGAGGTCATTGTCAAAACCCTTTTATTCTGATCAGTATGGGTTGCCAGACCTGCAAACTAGAGATAAGCTGTCTCATAGTGAAAGTAGACGGAAGAAATATATGATCCAGGGACATACAAAATGTCATACAAATGGCCATTCATTTATTCATTTCTGAAGAACAATGAAAGGGTTCATCTTTCACAAAATCTGATGCCCGACATAGTCTCTGAAAGTGGACCAAGAAGCAGCACAGGTTGGTAAAGTTCAAGAATGGATGTTGCAGCAATTTCAGTTTATGTCCATTGCTATTGAAGCGCAGCCTAGAGATAGTCAGCTGAAGTATATGTTATCTCTATTCACGTGTGTTATTGCATTGATGAGTGACATTTTGACTTTGGTTTAGCTCAGTCGTGTGACAAGACCTGATCCAAACGGTAAGTAAGGAAGAGTCAGGAAACTTACCTCGGAAGGAATATCGCACTGCCTGTTAATGATAAGTGTCGTCAAAATTATGATGTAGAGAAGATGCACAAGCACACGCCTGAAGAGGAAGAAAAGATCTCATATTGTGCTAGACAATTAGTTAAAGGAATTCTCCACGAATAACTTCAATAAAAGCTGTATGAAAAGTACTGCAACCATAATAACAACAACAAGAAACAAGAAGCCTTATCCAACTAAGTGGGATCATCTATATGAACTCTGCTATGCCATTGCACTAGATCCTGTATTGGATCCTCTGTAAGCTCTAAATGCTCTAAGTACCACAGCTATACTAGGCAAAATTAGATCCGTTTACCTGGCACAGATACCTAGGCCAGGTAGCAGGCAGAAAATTGGAACTCTGCACGGTCAAGTATTCATGCAGTTGAAAGGCATTTCTTATATACGAATTTACCTTGGAGACATGACCTAAATTCAGAAAGATGGGTCGCGTCTATCACAGCAAATGCAGAAGATCCTTGAGAGTTCCCAACTTAAACTACCTTCATGAGAGCAAGACCTAAGTTCTGTCCACCCGGTTGTTTGTATTCCTTGGAGTTTGAAGACCCGCGAGACACCACCACAACTTTTAGAACGAATTCATTTTATCTAAAAGCTAAGTGAACTGGTCAGCAGCATACGACAATTTGCTCTAGATAAGTTACTGACGATTGAACTGATTCATGGAGAACAAGCACCCAAAAGAAAACGATTTGATGGAGTCGTTGCAAACTAAAACTAAAGAAACAGTATAATAGGAAATAAGGGGATCAAGTAACCCGAGAGTAAACTTGTACATTATTCTCGGATTGTCTCGCTGCATGAAATTTGTAGTTACAGATTGTGAAGTGCATAAAGATCAAGGTCAACTGCTCAGTCTTAATCTATTAATTTCATCTGTTTACTGGAAATAAATTTCAAAATTCTGACTTGCTCAGTATCTCAACACAGGACACCTATTTCAAAATCAAGACTTTAGACATGAGAGTCTACTGAAGTGGGGCAGATAAACGTCAGCAAATTCGGTGAGACACCATGTCCAGTTTTCATTCAGTTTTTGTCGAAGGCAATTAATCTCACAAGGCTGATAGCAGTAACTAATCCACAAAGTTGGGGAGTAATCTTTTAGATAGGAAATGAACCTTTCCCAGAACCGAAGGGGCAAGAAGTGTATACATAAGGCTCCAAAAAAGCTTCTCGGTAGGGATGGATACACCAAAACCATCAGCGAAGAACTTTGATACCCAAAATGGCACATAGAAGATGAGAACTGATAAGCATACTATTACAGAGTCCAACCCGGTTGCATGAAAGATAGTTCTGTATTTTGATAAGACTTGGCACATAAGAATTAGAAAGCACCGTGGCAGGTCAGAAGTCATGCAGCATAGTCACTTGTTGCAGAATCACTACGTACAATTTTATTCACAAACAGATTATTTAGATTGCTTATCAAACAAAGCTTGATCTAGTTATTTCATTTAATATAACTGAGCCTGCCACTGAAATATAACTTGTCAATAGCTTCAGATGAGAAAATGCAACAGTACTGATGAGAGAAAGATGGAAGCTCGTGAACATTAGTAAGCTTGGATAATCCAAAGACTATGAATAATGGCAAGATGAGAGTTTAACTGCTAATTAAAATAATACAAACAACAAGAATAATACAAAAGCATAAGTATTAGGTTCTATTCAGCTTGATTCAAAAGAGAATGGTAGCAGCATTTCTACAGCATATCCCAGAAAGACATCAGGTCCAACAGTAGGACAACAGTAGACAAATCAACCTGCTCAAACCATGTTGCTGCTGTTTATGTTTGCTGTTTATATTTCCCAAAAGGAAGAATGAAAGCAGACGCAGCTTAGGAACTCAAGACTTACAGCGACAGTTCCTAATAAATTAGACATTACCGTCAATACAAGTGCCAGAGTAGAATTTCCACCGGCAAGCTGCAAATATACAATATGTTAAGTCAAACAATGACCATGTTTAAAGTTGAGCCAAACCAATTGTGGTAGAAATGCAGAACCAATTAATGAAAACAAAGAAAGAACAAACTTGAGTTAGAGCAACTCCACTAGATAGTGTCGTTGGCATACAAGTAAAAATGGCCAACCCTGTTCCAAAAACTTTCAAATTAGAGAAGTAACCTTTGCAAAGAAAAGAAGACAAAATTGACCATGTTTAAAGTTGAGCGACTAGCCTGTAATAAATTCCTGAGGTGAGAGCTGAAATTGCAAAATTAGTTTGGACAAGAAGGGACTGATCAGAAGTATAGAAGCCTGAATAAAGAATAATGACAGTTTAGATGTCAACAGTCCCAGAAAATTTTGGCAGCACATATCTCCTAAAGCAGAGAACCCAAAAAGACACAATACAAACATTTTTAAAAGCAATTATTGGGTGACCCCTTCAGAAAGCAAAACTCAGAGGATTCACTCCCAGAAAAAGAAAGCATACAAACTGATCTCTAAAACAGAAGCACATTATTCATGAGTTTCGAGGTTTTAAGAAAAGTGCTTAAGAAATCAGGCATCACCTTCGTCAGCACAGAAGCCAACATGTCATTTTTGCATTTATACGAGTCAGAAGAGAAGACTTGTCCATAACTTTTCTACATAACAGGTTCAAAACCCAACCAAAATATATTGTATATGAAAGGCTGTTTTGACAAATTGCTTTCAGATCCAAGTCCGAGTAATGTTTACTATCGCCAAAAGTGATGCATACATGAACCAATGAGAAAGAATTTCACCATACAGTCGAAAGAGAAAAGAATTGGAGGTCATACTAGCCCATATAATCCTAAAGGCCATGCTTGTGCGGCAGATCCTATTTCCCTGTCCTGCAACTTCAGACCTGCAACCTTAAACAGATATAAATGTTGACAACAAAAGACTGTAGACAATGTGCATGAGACCAAAGTCTCACCTGATATAAAGAATATTCCTAAAGTGGCAAATTGTGTCAACGAATGTTTGTGTGCAAGACAACCGCGAGTAGGATCTGCAAATCCCAAAGCTACTCCACTGAGCAGAGCTGCAAATTCAACAGGTCTAGTTACAATATTTGTCACATATTCTTCCAAATTCAGTTAATAGTTGCTGCTTGAAAAGGTCATGAGATGATAGACAAGCCTCTGGAGCCACGACAACGCATAAGGGCAACTGATCAAATTAGAGAAGCTTACTGTGTGCATTATGAACTAATGCCTGCAAATACAGGAGTATTACCTATTGGGAGAAAGTTAGTCAGTGCAAAATTTGTCATTGATTTCATCAAATGATATGAATCTGGTATAATTGGCATCTTTTTTTCGTGACTCCCATCAGCTCTTCCCTGCGAGCAAGCAATTCAAGTAATCTCAAACAAGTTCTAAAAGATCACCATTTGCTTGGAACTGCAGGAACTAGTCGATGTGTGAAAGAATACGAAGAGTAGTTTCCAATAGAAGAGAAAACAGAAATACAGATGCAGCGCTTAGCAGCAGCCCGTAGGCCCCTCGTGAAAAGGCCAGCATCACATCAAAGACCCTGCATCAAATTTTTTTGATTGAGCCTTCATCTTAATCTCATCAAACCTGCTTTCAATCATCCAGCTTGAGACAAATACAAATAGCAAGCAAGAGGCGAAGTCTTTTTTCCCCTTAATGGGTCAACTACGAGGATTCTCTTATACTATTGGTAGATTAGGTTTATACTAAAGGGCATAATTGTCATTGTATTGTTTTAGCCCTAAACCCTATGTATATATTGTAAATTGTTTCATCAATGGAAAAAACGTTTGCCCAAACTCTACATGGTATCAGAGCGGTGATCCTCGAAGCTCGTCCCTCACGTCCCTTAAGCAATATCTGGTCCTCCTCTGATTCGGTCAAATTAATTCGCCGGCGTGGTTTGATTTCTTGGTGTCGTCGTTGCTTCCGTCCGGCGATCTGGTTTTGCTTTCTCGTCAAAATTCTCGAGACCTTATTTGCCGGTGTTGATATCTGGCTCCCGTCCTTCTACGCACCGCCGCCGCCGCCGCCGCCCCTCACTAGTCACCGCGCCCGCTGCCAGCTCGTCCATCGTCACGCATCCACCTCGCTTGCTGCGAACCTGTTTGCGATTTGCTGCGTCCTCGCTGAGTCACCACCGTTGCTACCTTGGTCCTGACGTTCCTCCTCACCAGTCACCGCAAGTCGCCATGGTAGACGATTCTCAAACCTCTTCAGCCATTGCTCCCGCACATGAGCAGCCGAACAACCCTTATTTTATGCATCCTTCTAATAACCTTGGATCTAATCTCGTCGGCATGGTCCTTACGGGTGATAATTACAATAATTGGTCTCATACCATGGAGATTGCCCTTTCCACCAAGAACAAGATGGTGTCTGTTACTAGAGAAATTAAAAAACCAGCCGCAATCGATCCTACCTATGCGTCATAGATTCATGTTAACAATATGATTCTAACCTGGATTCTTAATTTCATCCATCCAGATTTGGTGCCAACGGTTCTCTACACAGAGTCAGTTGCGGATGTCTAGACCGATCTTTACGAACGTTTTTCGCCATCGAATGGTCCTAGGGGTTTTCATCTTGAGCAAAAGATATGCACCATTGCTCAACATGACGATGCCGTGACCAAGTACTATAATAACTTGCGAAGTTGCTGAGATGAATTGAATAATTTGGATCCGTTACCGCAATGCTCTTGTTTAGCTCATTCTATCATCACCAAACAACAAGAGAATCAGCGATTGTATCAATTTTTCATGAGTTTCAATCTGAGGTACGCTAATGTTATCGGTCAAATTTTACTAATGGATCCGTTACCTAGTGTTGCACGTGCATATGCACTAGTTCTTCATGATGAGTCGCACCGCCATATCCAATTGGATCGCCCACCGTCCGACCAGACCAACACTTTGCTTAGCACTCACAGCAACCATACACCGCGGGCATACGTGAATTCCTCATCCCATGGATAGCCTGGCTCTCTTGGCGTTCCCGCTTCGTCCGCCAACCTAGCTAAACGGATGAACATGTCCCGCGGCTGGGAAAGATGCGCCCATTGTGGCATCTCGGGACATACACGGGATGTGTGTTTTCGACTTCATGGCTTCCCTCCCAACCACAAGCAGCGCCGTGGACAGCCATCTACCTCCTCCCGACCCGCGGACAACAAGTCCAACCATACTTCCAATGTGGGACCTCCTCCATTCATAAATGATCAATATAAGCAGCAAGCGAATGATCAATATAAGCAACTGATGCGCTTGCTGTAAGAGGTAAACATCCCAAAAGCCAACCTCTCAGGTAATGTTCTCGACTTATCTTCGAATTCATTGAATTCTGATATTTGAGTTATTGACACTGTGCCACCAACCACATCACATTTGAACACAGTCACCTTACAAACCCAACTCACTATCCCTCTCCACATCCCACCATTGGGATTCCAAATGGTGTTGGTGTCCTCGTGACATCACACAGTTCGGCCTCTCTTATCCCAACTATCTCCCTTGATAATTTCCTTTGCGCTCCCTCTTTCAAATACAACTTATTGTCAATCTCCAAGCTCACTCAAACTTTAAATTGCTTAGTCACCTTTTTTCCTAATCATTGTCTTTTTCAGGACCTCTTGACGAAGAAGATCATTAGTCAGGGCCATGAACGTGGTGGTCTCTATTACCTGGAGATTCCTACCAGACCCGCTGTCCTCTCTACTGCAACCTCTTCACCTCATCTTTGGCACACTCGCTTAGGACATCCATCTAAGTCAGTTTTATCTACTTTGCAACAAACTTTATGTTTTAATCTAGCAAAACAATTGAGTCCATGTGATGCTTGTCATTTATCCAAGCAAACGCGTCTATCTTTTGCGTCTAGCAGTATTACTACTTTACGTCCCTTTGAGCTTATTCGTGTTGATATTTGGGGACCTTATTCTCATTTTACACATCAGACATATTGTTATTTTTTTATCTATTATTAATGACTATCTACGCTATACTTGGATTTTTTTGCTTACTTTTAAGTCTAATGTAATTGATTCTCTGATTCGCTTCTTTGCTTTTGTTGAGACTCAATTTCAAACCAAAGTCCAAAATGTTCAATCTGATAACGGGACCGAATTCCTTTCCTCTTGATTACAAGAGTTTTTTTGCACCCACAGTATTCACCACTAGCGCAGTTGCCCTCACACTCCTCAACAAAATGGAGTTGTTGAGCGCAAGCATCGTCACCTGCTCAATGTTGCTCGTGCGCTGCGTTTTCATTCTAGCATGCCTCTTCATTTTTGGGGTGATTGTGTCTTAACTGTTACTCATCTTATTAATAGACTATCTAGTCCACTCCTACACAATAAAACCCCATATGACATTCTCTATGGCAAACCACCTTCCTATTCTCATCTTCGTGTCTTTGGCTTATTATGTTATGCTTCTACCGACCGTCTTGACTTCGATATACTTGGCCCCCGATCTCGCCGATGTGTTCTAATTGATTATAACACAAACCACAGAGGTTACCGTTTCTATGATCTCCAAGACCAAACAACTTTTACCAGTCACGACGTTGTTTTCTATGAACAAGATTTTCCTCTCCATCAAACAATTGAACATACCACAACCGAACAGACTCCAGTAATTCCATTAACCATACCCGACCTTGGTAAAACCTCCCCTCCTCCCTCCACCACGGTACTTGCACCGACCTCACCTCCTCAACCTCCTGCACCCACGACCGCACCATCACCCATTGAACACAAAGTCATGCCTCTACCATCTCAGCCACGTTGTCCACCCGGATATCTTCGAGACTACCACTGCGCTATTGTGGCCTTCGATCAATCCTCTTCGGACTTTAAGGTAACTGAATCAGGTACTCCTTATCCCTTATTTAACTGTTTATCGTACTAGCGTTTTTTACCCACTCACCGCGTTTTTTTAGCCTCCATATCCTTAAACCAGGAACCTGAAACTTATGACGCTGCGTGTCAATCCCCAAGTGGCGGGAGGCGATGTCTTCTGAGATACAGGTCCTTGAACAGAATGACACTTGGGAAATTGTTCCTGTTCCTCCTGACAAACACCCCATTGGATGTAAATGGGTTTACCGAATCAAATACAATTATGATGGCACTATTGAGCGCTACAAAGCTTGTCTCATTGCAAAGGGTTACACTCAAACAGAGGGGATTGATTACAATGATAACTTTGTGGCCGTTGCTAAAATGGTAACCGTTCGTACTTTATTAGCTCTTGCTTCGATTCATCATTGGCCTCTTTACCAATTAGATGTGAATAACGCTTTTCTGCACGGTGATCTTGACGAAGAGGTCTACATGAGGTTTCCACCGGGTTTTCATACAAAGGGGGAGAATTTAGTCTGTCGGCTTAAGAAATCACTCTATGGCCTTAAACAAACATCAAGGCAATGGTTTGCTAAATTCTCTTATGCACTGCTTGATGTTGGTTTTCAACAGTCCAAGGTGGACTATTCACTTTTTACATTGGTCCGTGGCTCTCTCTTGACCATTGTCCTTATTTATGTTGATGATTTGGTTATCACGGGTAATGATGAAGTTATGATTCGACTTTTCAAGCGATTCCTTAACACACAATTTCGCATTAAGGACTTGGGTACTCTCAAATACTTCTTTGGCGTTGAAGTTTCTCATTCCAAGTTTGGAATTTTCTTGTCACAAAGGAAATACACTCTTGATATTTTGTCTGACGTTGGTCTTCTTGGAGGATGTCCTGTTGATACTCCGATGGAGCCCAATATACAATTTTTGGATTCCTCCCCAACTCTCAAGGATCCAGATTCATATCGACGACTTATTGATAGATTATTATATATTATAGTAACTCGTCCAAATTTACTCTTTGCAGTGCAACATCTTAGTCAATTTATGCACTCTCCTAATGAAGACCATTGGAATGCCACACTTCGCATTGTGCAGTATCTCAAGCATGATCCCGGCACTGGTTTGTTTTTCCCATCCGATTCTACTCTCCAACTTAATAGTTATACAGATTTTGATTGGGCATCCCGTTCTACATCCCGACGATCTGTTTCTGGCTACTGCATGTTTCTTGGTTCTTGTCCCATCTCATGGCGTTCCAAGAAACAAACCATTGTTGCCCGTTTCTCAGCAGAAGCTGAATACCTTGCTATGGCGTCTGCCGCTTGCGAAATCACATGGTTTCGCATGCTTCTCTCGGATCTCCACGTCAACACTACCACTGCTGATCTTTTTTGTGATAATAAAGAGGTCATCCACATTGCCACTAATCCCGTCTTCCACAAACACACCAAACACATCAAGATTGACTGTCACTTGGTTTGTGAAAAAATTCAAGATGGCACTTTGCGCACTCTTCATATTCCCAGTCACTCCCAACTCGCAGACTTGTTCACGAAACCGGTCACATGTGATTTATTTTGTACTTTTAAGAACAAGTTGTTGACATGATTACATTCACCAACTTGAGAGGGAGTATTGGTAGATTAGGTTTATACTAAAGAGCATAATTGTCATTGTATTATTTTAGCCCTAAATCTTATGTATATATATTGTAAATTGTTTCATCAATGGAAAACATGTTTGCGCAAACTCTGCATATACCATTGGATTCTACAAATCACCATTTGCTCCATAACATCCAGAAACTCAAGACCATAACTCCTCGACCATGATCTCTTTTTGCAAGATTACATCTTCCAGCACTAGACATATGCATATACTCTAAATTTACTGAAGAAAGCACCTTAAATCCGCGCTTGCACTATCATCAAGAAAATTGTATGGTACGTATAAGTCCTACTCTCAATCCCCTCATTCAGCTGGAAAATTATCCTAGGACTTGAGAAACATCATCAACATAACGGTAAAATTATCTCTCAGGCATTAAAATATGTCAACTTGATACAGGGAACTAAAAAGTGAAGTTAAGAAAATCCTCAGCTACCTCGTCAGATTTTTCCATGGCCCAACATATAGCCGGTGAAAATGTCCTCAAATTAAGCATGGAGACCAGAGATACACCGGAGAACAGAGCATCGTTGGTGGGTGAGAGAAGCTTGGGACGACACCAAGTCACACGATGAGAAGGAGGTATGATACGTGGAGAGCAGACAGTTTGTGCCTCCATGATCGAACCAGTGACGCACATGCAAGAAAAAAGAAAAAGAAGCCTGACCGAGAATCAACAACTGAAACAACCTATGACTGATGCAAATGGGTATAAGAAAAACGATCACTTTCCAGAATCAAGCGCTTCGTTTGGTTTTACTATTATCTCTCTTGAGACATGTGATGCAAGAACAAGAATCAGGAGGAACTAAAAGTTTTGGAGATTGGGACATGTTTGGCTTGGCGTGGAGGTGGTGAAGGGACTTGTATGGTGAGCAGTGAGTGATGGTACCATCCATCGCCCTTCCGGACAGGTCCCTGTGCCATCATCGACTGTGCCCTCCAAATTATTTGGGGCCGTTCTTCAAAGGAGACCAACCAATTTCCTTCACATGCATTATTCTATCCTTGTACTATCTAGGTAATTTTACAGATTTTTCGTAGGGTCGTATACGATTCTAATCATTGAATCTCTCGCTTTTAACCATTCTCATGACAGTATTGAATCTGTCTTCTCTTTAGAGGAAGAACCCACAACCAAATACCGTTAATGCTATTCCAGTGGCGGACCTAAGGACAATAAACAAAGTCAAATAGATTATGTTTTTGCTACGACAAAACTTCAATGTCTCATACGGATTGGTTTTTCACCGAACATATTAATATCAAACCTGATTATCAGGTACACGTGCTGTAGTTAAGCTTCGACCATAGAAATTAGTTGTGGAAGTTCCCCGACCAGAGTCCAGTTGATTGATGCCTCTATTCATCTCTATCCACACAGGTGCATTTCTCATTTTGGGGAAACATGCCAAGAAAGGGGGATCAAATTTCATGACACATGTTTAAATTCTGATTGCTTTTATGCTAGAAAGGGGACCACCCTCGAAGCCTTAGTATTCCTCAATGATCAATGGAGTACGAGTACCAGAAGGAAAAGGTGAAAAGAACCCTATTTACGGAGTGAAATAGAGAACTAGAGATCCGATTCAAATTAAACTATCAGTCGAAGAAGCGGAGCTTAGAACCTTTACTATATTCTATTACTAAAGCGCACTCACTCTAACGGCGTACCTTTTGCATGGTGGGTCAGCAAGGAAATGGGAACCTTGGCTTAAGCCATTGGGTGTAGGCGCTTTCAGTGGTGAATCTTCTAGTTCTTCCTATTTGATCCAAAGCCGATCAATCTAGTCATGAGCAGGTTGAAGAGAGCTCTAACAAGCTTTGGAGGACCGAACCCACATATATGGCAATTACGGGGATGACCTGTGGCTAGGGATGAAAGGGCAACCAATATCAAATATATATGGTTTTCTGCAAAATATATTTTAGTAGAGCGTATGATGTTGATGACCCAAGGTAGAGCACTCAATAGGCTAGGGTGGCCCATTTCGCCTTACCAACACCAGGGAAACTCTAAATACAAGCCTAGATCGTCTGTACAGACAAACATTTTGGGTGCTAAGATCCAAAGTTGAGAGGGACACAGGCTAGATCGTACACTAAGGTCCCTGACATAATGGAAAAGGAAGTGATCAAGCAATGACAATCAAGAGGTGGGCTTAGAAGGGGCCATCCTTTGAAGAAAGCGTAATACCTCGCTGGTCTAGCTCCATGGCACCGAAAATGTATCCAGGCTTAAGTGATTTGCCGAAGCAAGGAGACCTTGAAAGCTGCTTTCTCAAGATGTTCTGTCAATAGGGGAAGGTTTTTGGTGACAACACCTGAAAATATCAAAAGTGAGAATGCTGACATGAGTAAAAGGAAATCTTGTGAAAAACTTGATTGCTTGCCAATGGAAGGCTTTTGCGTTCGGTCAATCTATGCAGAGTGAATCGGTCCTTAAGGAACCCAAAAGGGCTGCGGTCCGATGGATACATGAAAGTGACGAAGTTGCTTTGACTACAGAAATCATGCATGTTTGTTGGAGTGAATTGGATGATCGGGCCGGAGGATGCCCCCTCTTCTCCTCACTCTTCCTTCCCTAAGATGAACCTTTAGTCATCAAAGCTTTTGTGACTCGGCCAGGCACAGTCACCCTTCGCAACTGGTCCTTCGAAAGTTGAAATTCTCGTCGCAGTTTCGTGACCTAAGGGGCAGACTTATTGTTATCTAAAGGCGAAGACCCTGAAATGGGCAAACACTCGACCTAGTGAATGAAGGCCTGATTGAAGGACTGAAGGAACGACTTTCTATCACTATATTGCCGTATCGCTTATGCCTTTATCGGGTGGGATTGAACGACTTACAGGAACATAACAGCAGCACTAATTGGCTTGCTTGCTGGAACTATACTTTTCTTAATATTTATTGCAACCACCGTACCATGTACAACCCCCCACCCCCAGCATAACCATATTCATACCGTTCCAACCCCGAAAGAAGAAAGAGCAAGCACTTGTCGTATCCTTTGCTTTTTACGGCCAATAAACCCTTCATTGACTTGCTTAGCTCAGCTTGGACCCTTTCTCTTGCTAAGTAGCAATGGTAGTAGTCTCAATTCTTTCTTTGCAAGAATAGGGCGTGAAATAGGAATTGCACCAATAGGTTGTCACCGGTCGATATCTCGCTTCTCTTGGAGGAAGGACGAAGTCATTTCTTATATAAAGAAAGATGTGGACTGGAGAGTTCGGATTGAGGTCAATATGCTTAACACTTTGTAGTTGGACAGCAACTCTAAGGGAGGAGGAAAAGTCTCTTAGATGTCGGCATCAGATAAATATCATGTGTGCCATAAGTGAGAGGTCAATCACTCTCAGCTCTTGTTTTAAAATCCTCGGACATGATGAAGAGCTCTTATCAGCTTGAGGCATCTTTTCAAGCTAAGTAAAAAATTCCAGCTCCTTTTATTTTGTAAAAAATAAATAATTTGAAAAATATTTTTCTAAAAATGATTATTTGTAACACTTGAGATAATTAGTCAATGAAAAATGTGTTCATTATCAGCAACATTTGCATAGACAATTAAAATATCTTTTGTTCATTCATTTTCGTAAGTGATCGGAAAATATTTTTCAAATCATTCATTTTCTGTTAAATAAACAAATCTTTCATAAAAGAAGAAAGATCTTTGCGTAGAAAAAAAAAAAAGGAGAAATCGTTTTGATTTGAGGCAGATCCCTTTTTTGTTTGCCTGAGTAAACAAAAAAGTTTTCTTGTTACTGATGGTGATGACACTCTAAAAATCGGCCATTCACTTCACGGTCCAAAGGAGATGATCGCTTTTACGCGAGAAAGGGGGACCAAAATGGAAATTAACTTGTCTTTTTGGGAACATCTGATAAAATTGAGGGTTGCCGAGATTGACATCAATACCACAGTAATTGGTTACGTTGCTCATTGTCTGTCAACATCGAACCAGCTTAAGTGCAAATGGAATCGCATGAACAACTCCTTTCGGAATAAGAACACTAACAATGGCATGTCTTTTTTATAGCGCTCACTCTAATGTTGTAACTTTTTAAATGATTATTGAAGTGCTCTTAAAAGATAATCACTTAGGGCACGTTTGGTAACGCTTCTGTTTCTCTATTTTTCTGTTCTTCTGTTACCTAGAACAAAAAAAGAACAGAAATCCGTTTGGTAACATATTTTATTTTTCTATTTCCTAGAATAGAAAAGTGGCCAAGAAATAGATTTGGAGCAGAAATAAGAAGTAGAAAAAATCTACTTCTTTGTTCCTAGAAATAGAAATAGAAATAGAAAGGTCCGGTCCTCAAGCCGCGACCTCAGCTCCTCCTCCATCCTCCGTCGTCTGCAAACCGTCTCAAAGCACCGGTCCGGTCCATTCTCGGCAGAAATAATAAAAAAAAATTATAAAAAATTAATTAAATTATAAAAAATTAAAAAATTCCAAAAAATCATAAAAAATCAGAAAAATTCTCAGAAAATCCATAAAAATCAAAAAAATTCAGAAAACCCATAAAAATTTGCAAAATTCCGAAATTGAAAAAATTAAAAAAAATCATAAAAAGCTTTCTGGAAAATAAAAAGAGACAAATTTCGGGAAAGTAAAAAGTTTTAATAAACTTTTCCCCAAAAAAATAAACAATAAAATATTCACATAATGGCTTAGAATAAATTAAAAAATTCCGAAAATTCATAAAAATTAGAAAAATTTCAGAAAAATCCCATAAAAAATTAGAAAATTAAAAAATTCCCAAAATTCATATAAATCAGAAAAATTCTCAGAAAATCCATAAAAATCAGAAAAACTCAGAAAACCCTTAAATATTTGCAAAATTCCGAAATTGAAAAAATTAAAAAAATTTCATAAAAAATTTTCGGAAAAATAAAAAGAAACAGATTTAGGGAAAGTAAAAAATTTTAATAAATTTTACCCCAAAAAAATATAAAAAAATTCACATAATGGCTTAGAATACCTGTGGCCACCCACTTTGAGTGAAATTTAAATATTTGAGGTGCCCAAGTGGTATTTTTTAAGATTCCTTAGTTTAGGGATTAAAAGGGATTTTAAGCCCTAAAAAGGATTAGACAAACCAATAAATCATGCTTATTGGTTTTTTTCACTTATAACTTATAGTTAAATAAAAGATATAGATTTGAATGCAAAAAATTGGGAATAGAAATTTTGTGCAGTTACCAAACGCATTTCTGTTCTTTTTCTATTCCAGGAATAAAAATTTTGTGCAGTTACCAAACACATTTCTATTCTAGAAATAGAAATTTTGTGCAGTTACCAAACGCATTATTTTGCTCAGGAACTCTTCCAGGAAATAGAAATAGAAAAAACTATTTCTGAAAAGAAATTGTTCCCAGAAATAGAAACATTACCATACGCACCCTTAGGTGACGTAGACAGTTTTTTTTTTTCCGAATAATCTTACATGGCAATTTCCTAATAGTTACACGATTTTACATCACGTACTTTTCCGCTGATGACACGAATCGATATGAATAACTTCACCGGTATAATGACTCGACACAAACCGGGAATCGGACCGGCTCCCAGTCCTAGGGTTATGTATAGTAGGTTCCAGATTCCAAAAGTTTGGGAACCTGTTTTGATGGGTAGATTCTAGGTTCCCGGAACGTGGAACAAGTCTTTATATTTTTCTTATTCCATGTCTTCGCACGTTCCTGCGGCATTCCATAGCGTCCAATGATGAGTGTATAATATGAAATACTAGTATGAAATTCCATTTCCGACGATATCCATTACTGAGACATTTACTTTGTTAATGTTTCGTAT